CATCGACGATTTTTTAAATTGTACTGATTTTTTTTGGAAAATGTGAATTGGGAAAAATGTACTTACTATAAAAATATTATAGTGGAACCGTTATATCAATATATTTTTGGTAATGAGTAGTGAGTCACTTATACTATATTCTCTTACAAGAAAATACTTTATTTATTAACAATTACTTATTGCTTACTGTCCATTTTAATCAAAACATAATAAACACAAAGTCACAGACAATAAATTGCAATGAAAACCGGAAATCGGAAAACGGATAACCATAAATTTTATTTCGGTAATTCCCCTAATTTCCCTGTAGTGTCAAACCAAGATATTTTGTTAAAACTTAAAACTGCTTACTGACAACATTCTACAAAGCAGTGAGGCCACACTGACTGACATGATGAAAATAGTCTCAGCCGTTGTGAAAACGCTTGAAGAAAAGCGAAATAATGATGAGCATCACCGGCTCGTTAATATAATGAACGTACAATTTTCAATTATTGATTCAGAAGACCCATCATCGCCACACGGAAAAAAATTGTAAAACAAATTTCTACAATTGCAGATTTTTTCTCTACAAAAAATAAATTTGTAGTAAAAATTTCCAAATATTTGTGGAGAATGTATTGTAGAGTTATTATCTACAATATTTAGTAAAAATATCCAAATGCATCATAAGAATTGGTCTACAAATTGTTATAATTTTTGCTATTCATTGTATGAATTTATATTAAAAATTTATTGCGTTTTATGAAAATAAATACGAAAATTTTACACAATAAATAGTAAAAATTCATACAAATTGTAGTAATTTTTATTAAAATTTGTAGTAGTATTCCATAATTATTATAATTATAACATAGAAAAAAATGTTCCTTAATAAAATATTCAATTTATTGTTTTAATATAAAAGATACAAATTCTTAATTACATTATGTAATAAATAACAGTAATAATAGCGCCCTCAGTCTCAGTTGGCTTTTTTGCACCTGAAAAATATGAAATAAAAATTAATACCAATTGAACTGTTCATACCCTTAAAACGGGGATATTTATCATCTTTACACTGATTTGGATATTAAATGACTAAGTCAGATAGCTAACAAAAATGAGAAAGTAGGTATGTCACAATTAAGACAAAAAAATATCATTGAACTTGGCACAAAATTCGATCGTTGGGCACAACATTCGACCGTTGGCCACAACTATTTTTTTTAAATAATCTACTAAGGTTATTTAAATTAGTTATCTAAAGGTAAATTATTCAGAAACAATATTAAATGTACTTACCACCAATAGAATTTATTATTAAAATTTTCTCAAACGCATGGGTGCTTATAATATAATAATGTGTTATAGGTACTCGTATATGTACCATGCTTTGTTATGTCTGCTGTCTGGCCGTTTATGATCGACGTCAGAAAGCGTTGGCCAATAGCAGAATTTTGTTTTGTTCACATGACTAAGAATTTCTACAATATTGTAGAATATTTTTCAACAAAATTGAATGTTTATTATAAGAAGGGATGTAAAGTATTACTATTTTTTGTAGAGAAAATTACTATTTTTTGTAGAGATAATTATTAATATTTGTACAAATTTTTACAGAAGTTAGTAGTAGTGATTACGATAATTGTAATAAATTTCTACTTATACAAACAATAGTAAAATATACTAAACATTGTGGACTTCTTTCCTATTGTTGTAGCATTTTATTCGACAATTCAATTGCTACAATAATTAATAGTTTTTAACTATAAATTGTAGTAAAATTTTCTACAAATTGTTAAGTATTTTTCTACAAGTCTACTACTACAACATTGTAGTAAAATTTTCTAGTCACATTTTTTTCCGTGCAAGAAAAAGAAAACCCAGCAAAGTGTTAGAAAATATTGTACTAACAGTCTTTAGCGAAGCAGATTTCAAACAAATATTTTTTGAAATTCTTGACATAATAGTAGAGCTAAGACGTAGATTTAACGACAATAATAATTTAATTGAAGCTATTATGTCAGGAGAAAAATAAGATATTGAAAAATATCAACCACTGGCCGAACTGGGCATTCAATTGACAAGTGCTGCGGAAATAGAAGTCGTCAAGAAATATAGAAATCGTCAGAGAAACGAGAATGCTGCAGAGAATCTCGATATTTTTCAGTGTATTTTTAGGCAAAACACTGCTTTTAAAGAAACATGAATTTCTAGCGACTTGGTGTACCTACTTTCGCCTGTAGTACGGCTCTTTGTGAATCCAGTTTTTCTGCCTTTACTAGAATTGATAGACCTCAGCCACCTCAGCGGAGGTAATTGTTACATCGGAGACTGGCAAACCTTACCCATTTAGCATTTGAAAAAAAGAACAAAAAACATAAATAAGTACCTATTGAAAATCTGCTGGTTGAGTTTAATAATTTAAAAATAGGAATATTGAATAAAAAAAATAATTTTTTAACTCTTTGGCATCAAATATGCCCTCAACCAGTTAAATGTTCATAGGAAAAGACGTTTTATATTTTTTTGTTGTAGAATTTATTCTTTTGTTTAATCAAAATAGCTTTTATTGAATAAATATGTGTTTTGTAATTGCTTGTTTTTTTTTAATACCCTCCTCGGAGGAAGGAATTCAAAACAAAATTCCTCATGTCTTTTTAGAATTTTTATACCTACTCTAATAAAAAAAATGAAGCCCTCCCAAGATTTTGTTTAGCACCCCCTGAAACAAGGGGCTAGCTACGGCCCTGAGTACATACCTAGTTTAAAATAAACCTATTAAAACAATTAATATCAATGTAAATTTATAATGAAGTCGAAATAAAAACCGAATTAATTTAAAGTTGATTGTTCCTAACTATTACCTATTTATAAATAAATATATGTATTTCATAAGCCAAATAGATAATTAAACAAACATTTTATCTCAAAAGTATTAATTCGACAATATCACCAATTTTTATTTACATATTGCAAGTCGTAAAAACATTTAATATTGCTAACAAATTTATTAATATTAAAATAATATTAAACGGACCGCATTATAATTTATAGTCCATAAAAATGTTCAATTAAAAACTATTTGATTTAATTAAATTACTAATAATATTAAATCAACTGCCGATATAATTTTAATTATCACGCTCAACGGAAGAAAAATAACTATTATCACAGTTACAACAACTAAGTATCCATTTTCATTATATACAAAATGAGAGTCGTAAAATTTTTATTGTTATTGTTTATTTATATTAACAAATCATTTAAATATTATTCATAAATTCGTCACGGCATTTTTGGCACGCTTTTGATGTGACTTTTAAAGTTTTACGGCGTGCGAAGTCCATAAACTTTTTTCCTTTTCTATGTGACATTTACGACCACTCAAATGGCAGTAAAATGTTCGTTTACAACTATGTTACCTCCTTGCATATTGAAATTACCGAAATCCGACATCGGAGGCAGGTCTTTCCTCTTCACCTTGGCCATAAGGATTAGTATTGCCGAACACAATTTTATTGTACTTTTACGACCATATTATGATCCCATAATGACATTTGAGTAGTCGGAAGGTTTGTTAGCATTATTTTTACGACTCTATAGATCATTATTCTGTTAAACACTGATATAACTTGTTAGGAGTACGTTTTTACGACATACCACCTTCATTTAATTATGTAAATACCGCAATAAAATTATAAAGCACACATTTTAAACACTCCAGAATAATTTATCGGCTTTGAAGTAGGTAACACATTAAAAATCACAGCCAATAAAAATAGTTTTAAATAAAATAATAAGAAAATATTTAAATTCCAGTTTTATAAAATTAATTATTTGATCGTACCTCGTAGAATCGCCGTCTAAAATGTGTATTTGTTCTATAAATTTTACATTTTATGCACTGCAAGAAGTTAACGACGAATTTTATCCTTTATGCAATTACGTGAAGCACCAGTATCCTTTGATGTTACTCGTTTGAAAGCCTAAAAGTGTCTGGTTTACGAGTTAAGCACTTGATCGACAGAGGGCAACACCATACCAGCATGGCCAACGCAGCGAGAGCAACAAAGACGACGGCTTTTAAGTGGGGAGAATGGTTTGTGAACTGGAGGTCGTTAGGGGATATATTTTCCTTGCGCAATGCTTGATGTGGGCGCCAGCACTGTAACGAATGCTATTGCCATTGGTCCATTTATGATCCCTTCCATTATAACGATACATTCATCTTTATTACTTGCAAATTCTTCGGTGCTCTTTCTACCGAATGTTCGCGAAGTATATTGGAAATTGTCATGAAAAATAAATTGTTTATTAATAAATGTATGTAACTATGAATCTAAAAGCGTAAGAAGTTCTGTAAAAGATCGGTTTTTAAATGGAATTTTAAAGAATAGAGTTAAGGGTTTTAAAAAAAATATTCACAAAGAAAGGGGTAATTATCCATATCTTTGTCGAATCGAAGGTCCTTTCAAGCTTTCAGAATACAGGTAGCTGTATAGTGGCAGTAATAATGAGCTGACAATTATCGCCGCGTGCTGAAGCGAGTGGGGATAGCGAAGGTGGGAGCGAGACAGAACGATAGGGGAAAGAGAGACGGCGAATGGGCCGGGATGTGTGGGCCGGATTCTGCTCTCCGGAGCTCCAGTGGGTTCCGATCCGCGATCTAACTAGTTAGCGTGTGCATTCCGGGCTCGACATTAGCGCGGTGTGCTTGCCTCGTGCTTAAATTGTCGTAAACTGAATTTTTATTGACTATTTTTATTATTATTGCGTCGTAACAATAACCATTATTTTTAATATTGAATGACTGTTCCCACACATTTAGTGACTAGTTTAATTCACATTATGAAGATGTTATCGTATTTGAGTGACATTAGTGCTTGATTTATAAACAAACGACTTTGTGCTTGTGAACTTAGTGACTTAGTTTTACCTCTGTGTTTTTGCTGGAAAAAGGACATCCCTCAATTTTGAGGGATTATTTTTAATCGTCCAAAATTAACGCGACAATAATGAACTCTTATTTCGAACAAAGTGGCTTCTACGGAAGCCACCATCACCAGGGCACCGGTGCTGTCTCTGGGGCACATCATCATGACCACCAGAGTGTTACTGCAGCTGCATACAGATCGTTTCCACTTAGTCTAGGTATGTCATCTCCATATGTCTCTAGCCAACACCATCACGCACATTCGTTACACCAAGCCCGTCCACCGCAAGATTCTCCATACGACGCTTCCGTAGCAACAGCTTGTAAATTATATTCCTCGTCTTCAGATGGCCAACAAAATTCGGTAAATTACAGTTCGGCAAACTCAAAATCAGACTGTTCCAAAGTAAATGCGGATCAAAACGGATATGCTTCAGTGGTAGCTGCAGCTTCGGCTGTTAAAGACGTTTGGAGTGCAACCTCCGGTGCTGGTGCAAATCTTTCAAATAGTCTAACTGGTCCCGTACGTCCAGCCGCGTGTACACCAGACTCTAGGGTGGGTTACGGTTCCTCGGTGGGCCTCGTCGGGGGAGACCCGTCCACTAGTCCTGGGGCAGCAACAGGAGGAAGAACTTCAAATTCCCTGTCGTCTTGGAACAACCCCTGTTCACTGAATTCCTCATCATCGCAACCGGTTGGCACTCAAATCCATCAACAGACGAATCACACATTCTATCCCTGGATGGCAATAGCAGGTGAGTCGCAATATAACAACTTTATTAAATTTACTTCCATTCAACTAACCCTTATTGAAACGATATGTAAATGGCCTATAAACTGAGCCAAGTGCGTGTAAAATCAGGGTTGAATGTTCCCCAATCGTCTCTATCGCACCAACAAATCGGCTCGTGTATCTCGCTCGCTTTCTCTAACGGATATTTCGGCTGTGCTGGTCCTTTTCAGTCCACGAGGGGCAATCAGCTGTTCGTCGAGCCTAATTCAAAGCGCGATGTCTAGACGGAATTTCACAAAGAATGGCTACGAAGGTGGAAAATGGAAAATTTATGGTAGGGCCCTTTAAATCCGGTATTAATACGATCAGTTTTATTACTAATAAAATTATCATTTCGACTGAACTTTATATAGCTATCAGCTCAGTAATGTAATTAAAAATAGACTAAAAGTATCTACAACAATATTATCTTTACCAGGTTAGGCATGTGGTCTGTACCGATAGCGTTGTTATTTTAAACCGACACGGAACTTCCATAAAACCTTTAAAACTGCAGATATTTATTACTTCGTTCTCACTTTGTTTTGTTAAATAACTAAGAATGCAAAATATAAATATAACCAACCTTTTTTAATAAAAATTATAACTACATTGCCATTAACCTTAATTTAATGGTTTCTAAATTTAGTTCTCTATTCCCTGATCATGATTCTGAACTGTATTAATAATAATAATACATTGCCAGCAGCCACATTTCTCTTGCTGGGTTTTAAATTCGGTAATGAGGCTAAAATAAATCTCAGACAGAGTAGGAGTATAATAATTGAGCACTAAATAAACTAACTGCATTTCGTTGACCTATCTGAAAATTTATTGTGAGCGCTTTTGCTACAAAACAAACACACTTAACATTTTCAAAACATGGATTCGCTTGTTTTTACAAAGTAAAATACGAAACAATGATTATTTTACCAAAATTGCTTTGAATAATGTAGAAAGTTTTTCTCAGCAAAAAATAAAATAAAAGTACTTTTACCTATCAAGTTTCGACAAAATTTAATTTCAATAAATAAGTTTTAAGTACCTAAATAAAAAAAAATAGTTGCTTTTTATTATTTATTTGAAATAGAAAATAGTTTAATAAGAATATTCAACAGAGTTGAAAGAAAATAAAAATAAATTCGTGAATTAAGAGTTTTTTTATTATTGATTATGAAAATTAGGAATATTCCTAAAAGTTTAAAATAAATACAAAAATAAATGTTTTTTATTATTAATTTTAGATTTAAAATAGCTTAAATAGAAATATTAATAGTTAATTATTTATAGAGTGTATTTAAATTTCTTTTTAAAGTATTATTTTTATAGAAAAATATTTTTTAATGACCTGGTTTGGTTTCCACAATTTAAAATAAAAAAAATTGTTTTTCAATTCTTTTTCACTGCAGCAAATAAAATAAAAATATATCTACATATCATTAAACTTGCAACAAAAAAGTTAAAGTAAATAAAGAAATTGTTCTTAAAGAAGAGTGGGTTTTTATTATTGATTTTAAAAAGAAAATACTTTAATAAGAATTTTTAACAAAGTTTAAAATAAATTCGTAAATTAGAGTGCTTTTTATTATTAATTTTAGATAGAAAATAGTTTAATATGAGTTTTCCTAAAAGTTTAAAATAAATACAAAAGTATTTTTTTTATTATTGATTTTAGATTGAAAATAGCTTAGATAGTAATAGTTCATAGTTTATTTTTTATAAAGAGAGTATTTAATTCTCTTTTTAAAATTTTGATTAAAAAAAAAATAATTCTTGTTGATTTGATTTTCTCAAATTAAAATAAAAAAAATTTCTTCAATTTTTTTCACTGCAAAAAAATAAAATAAAAATATGTCTACCTATTTTTCTGCAAACTTGTCTAAAAAAAGTAAATAAAAAAATTATTATAATTATTTTCTATTATTGATTTTAAATATAAAATAATTTATTAGGAATTTTCATGGTTCATTTTATAAATAAACAGTTTTATCAATTTTCGTTTCAAAGTAGCTGAAGTAATAAATAAAAAAAATAATTTTAATTTATATTACTTAAATAAAAATGTATGTCTTATTAAATCCATTATTATATTATCTCTCTATATGCTTATTATTATGTCTATTAGGTAATATATCTATTATTATATTTATTAATATATCTAGGATTATACCTATTATCAATTATATCTATTTTAATATTAAATTTATTTGAAACCTCCTTTCTTATATAATAATTTAGGCTCTTTACAGTGGCTTCCAAAAGACACTTTAACCAGCGCCACCAGAGTACCCTTACGGGAACACCGCTGAACTAAATGGGGTTGATGAGTTCCCAATTTCGTCACAGTGTGGCGTTAGTGTGTCTGAATTTTGGATACCGAAATTCTGGTACCTGGGTCCACGGTTACCTGCGATTTTGCATCGCGCGTTCGATTTTATAATACGTTTAAAGTTTATGAAGAAATAAATCTGAATCGATTCGACTGAATGGATTTAATTAATATTCAAATTTTGATTTATTGGCATGCAGGAATGTTGAGTAGAAAAATAGGCAATGATAACTAACGCCAATTTAATATTAAATTGTGATTATGTATTTGTTTTATTTTATGAGTTTAATTAATCCTATAGGTATCTGTAATATTTTTTAAACAAATTTAGTAAAAATGATGTTTTAAAGAATTGATGTATTGTTAGAATTGTTGAATAAGGTAGTACTTTTGTATAATAGATACATTTGCAAATATTCAAATAACAATAAATCGATGCAAGGAATTTGGAAGATCTGATTATGCACTTAAAATAGAGAAAAAATTATATTGGATTTAAATTTACAGCAAATAACAGAAGTATAGAATACAAAAATACTTTAGTAACAAAATTCGAAGTAGGTAGGTATCTAATAAAATGAATTAATAAAAATTGGCAACGTCACTTGGCGTGTAAATTTCACAACAAAATAAAATTAATAATTCTGATGCTATTCCAGTTTTTAGTAGAAAACATTTTCCAACATTGTAAGATTTAATAATTAGAATAGATAATTTACTTAGGTACTTAAAATTACTTAATTTTAAAATTATTTCTTAAAAACAAACCATATACAGGTAAACAAATTGTGCTATAAATATGACAGTTTAGAGGCGTTTCTGTAGCTTTGACCTGAAAGTTTAGGACACAAGTATATGAAAAAAGTAAAGGTTATAATCAAATTCTTCAGCAAAAAACAATATGAAATTAATACCAGAAAAATTACAAATGGAAGCAGTGAGATAGGTACCTATATATTTTTTAAATTATTCTTTGAATAAAAATAAAAATTATAAAACCTATTAATAAAAAAAATAGGTATGAGCATTAGTTTTAAAAATACTCTATCATTAGCGAGAGTATTATTATTATTATTATGATTTTTATTATAATAAAATTAGTAAATAAATATTTACTTTGAAATTTGACTGAAAAGCAAATTTATTTATTTTAACAATTTCAGTATCTTCAAAAAAAATATATCTATTCAATTTTTACGAATATTTTAAAAAATTCACAAATTATTTTATTATTAAACTTCTAACCAGAACTACTAAATATGAATTGTTCAAAACAAAATTAATGATTAAGTTAAAAACTTGTGATAGTTAATATAATTTAATTATAGGTGACCATCGCTGACCATTAATCTTACCCTGTAGTCCTTTAATCTTGACCTTTGTATTGCGTCTCTCCCTTTAGTTCCTTTCGTGTTCATATGGAGTCGAGTTAAGGGTCGTATCCGCCCAATTGTGCAAGACTTGGTTATCGGATATAAGTAACTTTGTATGTTATGAAATCGCACAAAATAAGCAATAATTTATTCGTATTTATCGCATTTCATGAAAAACTGGCAGATAATACTTCTATTCGTCAAAAAATATAGTAGATATATGATTTAAAAATGCTAATGTTTATTTTCGGATTATTGCTAAATTAATATATTTGTTTTTAGAGAAAAGTTGCCTAAATGTAGTTTAAAAACACATTTTTTTTGAAGTCCGTGAAATTTGCAAAATATTACAAAAAATTTAAGCCAAAATTGACATAAGTGCTGCCATACTTAAAAACTTTTTATAACTCTCAAAGTGACATTAGAGTGTTCACGATTTTGACAACCAAAAGTTTCGTATATCCACTCGTAAAATCCAAATATTTAAAAAATGATCCTTACAAACAACCTTAATACATTGCATTCATAGTACATACGGAAATTGCTATCTGTTCTTCCAAAAGATATTAGTTATTAACAAAATACTCCAAAATATAAACAACCTAAGAAATTATAATTGCAGGGGCGCATATACGGGGGGCTGATGGGGGTAATTACCTACAAGAATTTTTAATCCAAACTTATATAGGTACTAAAAGTATTTTATTAGCAGAAATAAAGTTTTGATTATACCATTAGCCCAAGACTTAAATTCTGGATGCGCCACTGTCTAATTGTATTTTGTAATTTTAAAAAAATCAAAGCGCTATCGACATTACCGCCATCTTCAGTGTTTATTATCATTCAAGGACTAATATTCAGTAATATTGACATTGGCGTGTACACAAGTGACACCTCTGTCACATTACCCTTCCAAAATGGGAAATTTTACCAAAATAGCTTAAGAAATGGGCGAAAAAACTTTCATTTACAAGAAATACACCAAAATTAATTTTTCATCAGTTGCGAAAAAAAAAACAAATAGTAATAAACATTTTTTGTGGTTTTAAAATCAATAATATACATAATTATTGAAAGTTAATATCAAAAATGTCCTTAAGCTCTAATTCTGTGAGATATGTAGTTTTATTTCTTTCATTTTCCTCTATAACTCACTACTTCCAACTTTAATTTATAAAAATAGACCTTCGCCAAACTTTCAACCTATTAATAATGTTGTTTTGGTCCTTATTTTCCATTCTAAATCAGCACAAAATAATTAAAAACAATACACGACAAAAT